GCCGACATTTAAAAATGGTGCCGGCCGGCTTCATGCAAATGAAGCCTGGGAAATTCAAATCCCGGGCTTCATTTGCAAGTGCGGTATGCCTACATTACCCTCCTAGTTCGAATTAGGAGGGTAGTGTAGACATACCCTAAGAGTGGAAGTAAAGGGGACCGTGGACCTCCTGCCTGGTACAGTAGGAGGCATACAGGTGAAGTGTAAGGGTATGTCTACACTACCCCGCTAGTTCGAACTAGCGGGGTAATGTAGGCATACCGCACTTGCAAATGAAGCCCGGGATTTGAATTTCCCCGGCTTCATTTGCATAAACTGGGTGCTGCCATTTTTAAATCCCTGCTTGTTCGAACCCCGTGCCGCACGGCTACACGCGGCACAAACTAGGTAGTTCGGACTAGTTTTCCTAGTCCGAATTACCGTTACTCCTCGTGGAATGAGGAGTAATGGTAGTTTGGACTAGGAAGCCTAGTCCGAACTACCTAGTTCGTGCCACGTGTAGCCGCACGGCACGGGGTTCGAACAAGCAGGGATTTAAAAATGGCGGCATCCAGTTTATGCAAATGAAGCCCGGGAAATTCAAATCCTGGGCTTCATTTGCAAGTGCGGTATGCCTACATTAATCACATTTATTGCTTAGTGAGGACTAAGTAAGATTTTCAGTTTGTCAAAGCTCTAGTCTCCTTTTTTGGTAGCTGTATTGTCCCTCCCTCTCTCTTCTCTGACTCCCCTTCTACTTCTCTACTTCTGTTTCCTACATTTTTTATATATATATTTCCACCACTTTCGTCTCTTCTTCTCCCATTTCACCCTTTTTCTGATCTCTGCAGAGACAGCAGTAGCACTTCACATAGGAGAGGGAGACTAACTAGCATACCAGTCTCTTTCTATGCCTCTGCACTTCATGCTGCTGCACACTACATCACTCTCTCTTTATATCCAATTCTTTGCACTTGACTACAATCACACGATCCTACATTATTCCCCCATGCTCTTCTGGCTCCGTGTGAAAAGTGATACGCCACTGCAGCACTGTTTGTTGCCACTGTTTGTTGCCAGGGACTACAGTGTAGTGTTACATTGACATGCGTTCTGAATAAATATATCAATTGGAGAACACGTGTCCCCACCACTGATATCTGATACTCTTGATTTAACAGTTATTTTCTTGAGTGACTGATCCAGTCAGAACGTGGATCAAATAAATAGCATAGGAAAAATCAGAGGGCTATATCTCCCCAAATTAGAGACTCAGAGGAAAACCTGCCTCTGCAGTAGTCATTAAGGGGAGTGAACAGCTCTACAATGTTGTACGTAATCTGCTGCCTTTGTGATAAAGAACTTCATAAATCCTGAGATGTGAATATTAGCAGCCAAGTACCTGTAAGTCTCTGGTAGAAGGCAGTATTTCTCAATGGGGGAAAAAAATGTGCCAATCCGCAAGGGAGTACAGATGATTTTAGACTGGCCTTTGATTTTACAACAGGAAAATTCTGTCTGTTTGAGAGGAATAACAATATTATTTCCTTCTGCTTGCATATGCCATTGTTTTCCCCACTCATATTCCTTTAGAGAATATCTTTTTCCCACTCTGTCATCATACTATCTAATCCTACTTCTTTTTTACATGAATGTGAAATTCCTTTATTTCTTTTCAACTAAAGAAAGGCAGATTAAAGAAACAGGTCCCAGGGAACGAATTGAAACCGGGTAAAGATCTCTTTTATTCATCCTCAGCTATGCAAATACCTATTTTGCAAACTGTTTCTGAACTCTTGTCCTAAACTTTTTATACTTGGTCCTTTGTTCCTAGAATACCCAAATTTCTGGGAAATCTATAGGCACATAGTTTACATTTTATATATTTTATCTTTTTTCTCCAGTACCTCATTAGGATATAGAACAGGGGTGGGCAATAATTTGTGATGAGGGGGCCACTCCAAGGAATTGGAAAGTGGCCAAGGACCACACACTTCATATTAATGGAGGAAGTGTGTGGTCTGGGATGGAGGTTGGGTGCAGAAGGAAGCTTGCAGTAAGGGACTAGGGTGTAGGAGTGAGTCTGGGGTCTGGGAGGGAGTCTGGGTGAAGGAGGCTGTTGTGACCTGGGCTAGGGGACTACAGTGCAGCAGTTTGGGTTGTGATCTTGGCTAAGAGGGGGTTGTGACCTGGAGAAGGGGACTAAGATGCAAGAGGGCATGCAGGGGTTTGGGTTATGACCTGGGGCAAGCAATTGGGGTGCTAGACTTGGGGGGGACAAGGGGACAGGGGGGCTGAGAGGGTCAGGAGGGCAGGGGCCGGAAGGGCCAGGAGGGCAGGGGCTGGGGGGCCGGAGCTCCAGGCTCACGCGTCTAGACCCGGCCGGCGGCAGAGACACGCTGAGGGGCTTGGGGGGGACAAGGGGACAGGGGGGCTGAGAGGGTCAGGAGGGCAGGGGCCGGAAGGGCCAGGAGGGCAGGGGCTGGGGGGCCGGAGCTCCAGGCTCACGCGTCTAGACCCGGCCGGCGGCAGAGACACGCTGAGCCCGCCCGCGAGCAGGAGGCTGACTCGAGTATAAGCCGAGGGGGGCATTTTTCAGCACAAAAACTGTGCTGAAAAACTCGGCTTATACTCGAGTATATACGGTATATTAACTGCTTAAAGTTTGCAGTAAATAAGGAAGTGGTTAAGTCTCTCTGGAATGTCCTGGTTTCCCTCAGATCTAAAATAAATAGAACCATACAACAGGCATGGCACGCTTAGCAGTGTGTCTACTAACAGTAAGTCTTAAATACTGTATCTGAAAGATGAATGTTATTCCGTCTATCCCAAGCAAAATAAAATTTAGCTTTACGTATCGTGATGCATTATCATTTCACTCAAAACACCTCTTCAGTGAAATCCAACAAGAAACATTCCCTTATGTAAATTCTGCATTTGGTATTTCTTATTCTTAACGTTGTGCTTGTTGTTGTTCCACAGGATGCTTGTGGGTTCATTGTTGCAAGGTGCTGAGCCCCTACAATTGCCAGGGAAGTCAGTAGGAATTGAGAAATGCACTAACAGCTTGCAGGATTGAGACCTGTACTGCATACTCTTTAATTATATTCACAGGCCTGCTGGCAAGTGGGGGAAGGCAAAAGGGGCTATCGTCCAGGGGCCTAGGTGATTTAAAAACAGTAGCGGCAGCCTTTTAAATCAGCCAGGCATACTAGGCACGTGTAGGGTGGTACTGGCAATGGTGAAGGCAGCTGGCTGGCATGTGGAAGCCATGGCCATGCTGGAAGCACTCATACAGCAGTGCAGTTGGCAACTCAGGGCACAAGCAAGCACAGTGGAACACTGCCCAAATGTCAGGTGGATGGTGTCCACACTAGCACACCTTGTGCATGTGTGGGGTGCCCACTGACTCTTCTGTGCTGGGGCATGGGTCTGCATATCCATAAGCGTTCCTTCACATAAGTAGTGTCTTAGTGTAATGGGACTACATCTGTAAATGCTTGTGAATGTAGGGGTTGCAAAGTCAAGCCATAAGTATTCAGCATAGCTACATTTTAGCTGAGAACATTGGTAGTATGACTGCTGTAACGTATGATGGTTAATCACCAGGCATGAGCACCCAATATGTATTTTATATTTATTTGTACAGAATTTTGATGTAGTCATCTGCATGTCATAGTAAGTGTCAGAAGAAGCCATGAGACACCTCAAACTGCAATGGTAAGAGAAGAAATTATTCAATGGTACTTTTTGGCTTTTGAAATTTTGTGTATAAGAAAATATAGCAGGATCCTTTTTTAATCTATTGAAGTTTTAAAAATATTAAATGTGGACTCAAAACTAATGCCCATTTAAAACTACTGCCTTCGTCCTGCAAGACCTGAAGGGGAAGAACTTGCCTGCTTCAAGTCAATGAATAACAAAGGAGCCACTGAACAGTAACTGCAATCATAAATGTACAGTTTTTCCTGGAACTGTTGCACTGTTTCTTTTGCAGAAGGAGGGTCTAGTGGATTTGTATAATAATGAATCCAGCAGACAAGTCCTTCTGTCTCACCTCAGACTCAAGTTGCCTTCATACCACCTCCAAATACCTGTTGTGTCCTAAGGGTACCCTTCTAGACATATGTTCATGACATGCTAGGACTCACAGCCCTGATAACATCCTTTGTGTTTTCCCACCTTAATATAGTGAATGAAACTGCAGTGGTGGTTCTAAAGTGTGAAGATCTCGATGTGAAAAACTGCACACAAGAAGCTAGCGGCAATGCACAAGAAGCTTTATAAATCCTACAGAACCCATGGAATATTCTATATATTCATGAGCATTACCCACTGGAGCTTTAGATAACTATTGATGTATACACGCACAGATCTTTTATAATGTTTCATTTATGGTGTGTGGGAAGGATTTAGAATTAACTGGAATCATTGGGGAACCATCTCAGCCTGCGCTTACTTTAAAATGAGTCGGGAAGTTACAAATGTCTCCATTAAATAAATCTCTCTCTTTTTTAATTCTTGATTTATAGGAGCTGGCTAGCCACTTTGCTGGTTTCATGTCTAAGGAAAAATATATCAAATGCCTCTAAACCCAATATTTTATTGATGATGGCTGATGATCTTGGTTTGGGGGATGTAGGCTGCTATGGTAATGATACACTAAGGTAAGGTCATAGCCACAAGAGATGGTTACTTTGTCATGGTCACTGTGACATGGATTAAGAAGCAGAAATCATCTGAATGGCCCCAGAATTTTCATCTTGGTGTGTAAAGTTCTCCTCTGATTTAGTGGAATTACAGAATCAAGAAAAAAACTAGGCATACTTGAGTCAACCAGTATCCCACCATCCCACAGAACATGAAAAGTGTTCATTTTCATTTGGCATCTGCTAATGATAGCACAGTATTCTACAGCTAATCATAGAGAGGAGGAGAACAGTTTCAAAACTACTGTACTTAAGATTAGAAAAATAAAGCATTAATTAAAATAACCATGGGTTTCCTTATTTAGGAAACTGCCTGTCATCTTGGGTTATTAGTTTATCTAAATATGTTCTTTTCAGTACACAGCATATCTAAATGATCTGCAATAAATATTACATTGTGCTAGAGAAATAATTCATTACAGCACATTGTGAGGGACTTCTTGAGATGGTTGTTGATTCGTCTTCCCAGACAAATATGCGTGTGGGCAGGCACACTCATACATGCGCCCCAAGATTACATTTGAAATTGGGATTAGACACCAAATACCAGCTCCAATCAGCAAAGATTTAAAGGAAATATGTGTATGGAATGATGTTTCCATGTCCATTATATAATTATTCTATGATGGACTTTTCCATCTTTATTTAGACATATTAATACTGTGTGAGAGAGAGTGAGTGAGAGAGAGAGACAGGGCATCAATAAAGTTCTTGCATGAGAGAGAAATTTCTTCCTATTATAGTCACTATTACGTGTATTCTGGATATTTCACTTCCTTTTGCCAGCTTTGTCAGCTTCCAAGGAGTTCATGCTGGACCTAATGTGGCATTTGTCTGTTTCAGTATGTCAAATCTTATGTTTCCCTTTCTTAAATTTGGTCTTCTCCAGGCTGATGACAATGTATCTCTATTTTAATAAGACTGGCTAGTTTTCTGACAGCTACTCAGTATAAACAACTGTTTTTCTCCTTCTGTCTGTGAAGCTTTCCAATAGACCATTTTCATTTTAATTGCAAAATTGAGATGTTTATTAAAAGGTCATTATCATTTAAAGTGTAAGAATTGTTTCTGAAGTACTGAATAACAGGCAAACGAGACAATTGGATTTTTTAAAAAGTTAACTGTATTATGTGTTTGCAACCTCAGTCATATTAAGTATAAAGTCAGCTTTAAATCAACAACATGTTATTCAAGTTAAAAGTCATATAACAGAAAAGGACCATTCTTTTATCTTTGCTTTTATTTCTGCCGTGAGAATGCAGAAAATAGTGGCTGTCTTTTTGGGGACAGAAGAAATAAATTTCTGTATTGTCCTATATCCACATTATCCACATCTGATTCCACGTGCCAATACAGTACATGCTTTCCTTACTTGGGATGTACTCTTTAGTTTTTGTTTTTCTTTATTGTACATTATTTATCCAGTGTAATTGATTTTTATTTAAATCTATACCTCTTCAAAATGGGCATTGCATTTTAATGGTAATAGAACTAAAATAAACACTTTCTCGTTTTTTAGTTGTATTTAAAAGGCAAACAATTTGTACATTCATCCCTGATGACCTTTAACAATGCTGCTTTATTTTGTGTGTGTGTCAAATTTGACCAAGGTTCATTTTTCTTTTTAGGACCCCTAATATTGACCAGCTAGCAAGGGAAGGAGTGAAACTTACTCAGCATATTAGTGCAGCTCCACTTTGCACTCCAAGCAGAGCAGCTTTCCTGACTGGCAGATACCCTGTCCGATCAGGTTTGAACCTCTCTTTAATACTAAACAGTACAATTTACTATTGCAATTCCTTTAACTAGTCCTTGATTAAATAGATCTTGTTTTGAGTTCTGTGGTTTTTCACACTGCATCATTGCATTCTGGCTGTAAATAAAATATGACCCTCCATTCATTGGAGAGACCAATAGGAAAAGAAACAATAATTTATTATTTTGTACTATAGGAATGGGATCCAGCACAAAACTGCGTATTCTTTATTGGACTGGTGGCTCAGGAGGGCTCCCTCCAAATGAAACAACTTTTGCCAGAATACTGCAGCAGCAAGGTTATACCACAGGACTTATAGGTACAGTATGTAGGAATCAGTTACATCACAGTATCCAATCCTAAGCACTGTAACATTTTGAAATCTAGTCCATTTGATTACGAAACTCTATAATTTTACATATCTGATAAGACCAAACTGTGTCAATGTAGATATACACAGTAAACTGAAAGTAGTTCAGAAATAAAATCTGGTGGATTCAGTACATACTGTTTTAGGAAATACCTTAAGAGATATGTATTGACTTCCAGCAACAGGTGCTTGTCATAAACTACAGTGATATTAAGTAATCACAGCTCAGTCACCATGTGCTGCATGGACTTGCTATGTTTGTGGAAACTGTGCATTACCACAGCCAAATCTCTAGCCAGATCCTTCTTGAGGTGTACGTAGTTCTATTAGGTGAAGCATAAAGTGGAAAGACTCTCATTTACTTGAGTGGGTTTTGGATCAGGCCCCACACTGCAGACAAAAATCCCACTGAAATCACTAGATGCTGTGACTGAGTTAGGGTAGCAGGATGTGACTTTTAAACATCCCTTGTTTGTTACAGGTTTCTTTTTTTTTTCTTTTCAAAAAATTATTCTTCTAAAAAGTGAAAGACAATTTGAGGGTACTGAGGGTGATAACAAACCTTTAGGCAGATGGCCAGGACAGGCCTCCACACCATTTCAAGTTTAGCTTAGTTCTTAATTTGTGAGTTTAAGATGGACTTGGTGATATATATGTCTTATGCTAGGCCTTTGCCCAGGGATGAACTCAGTTTGAGACCCTAAAGACTGGGTCTCATTGTAAGACACAAAGCACAGCAGCTACTAGTACCCAGAGACCCTAACAGCCATGGGCTCTTCTTTAAGGGTTTGTCTACATTTGCACCCTCTTTTGAGAGAGGGATGCAAATGTAGACATTCAAAATCGCAAATGAAGCTGGGATTTAAATATCCCCTGCTTCATTTGCATATTCGCATCATGGCACTATTTCAAAATAACGCTATTTCGAAAAAAGAAACGCGATTATTTTGAAAGAAAACCCTTCTTCCAAAATAACTGGTAAACCTCATTGTAGGAGGAATAAGGATTATTTTGGAAGAAGGGTTTTCTTTCAAAATAACCGCATCTAGACAGCGTTTCTTTTTTTGAAATAGCACCATAACGTGAATATGCAAATGAAGCATGGGATATTTAAACCCCCACCCTTCATTTGCATCCCTCTCTCGAAAGGGTGCAAGTATAGATACACTTCTGTGTGTAAAGCCAACAAACCGTGGTCATCAGTAGGAGTGATTGAACCTGCAACCTTAGAAGCTAAATTCATGAACTTCTACCACATGAGCTAAGAGACCTCAATGAAGGCTGTAGTGCAGACTTCACTCTTCCATGTCAGAGGTCTCAGTGCCTCTGGGTTACATGTGTCAAGCTATATTCCTACTGTAGTGTCATACATTTTAGTTATGGTCTATGTAAATATCAATTATTAGGATGCTGGAATTTACAGATTCTGTAGGATTAGAACAGCCTATTTTGGGGAACATTTAAAAATAAATTTAGCAAATTAAGTTGAATTGTGAGAGCTGAGAATGTGTAGAACATATTACAGAGGAATTCCCATCCAGGAATGGATGTCTCACTAAACTTACAGGCTATCTGGTGTACTTGCTCTTAACTTCTTGGATCACAAAGGATCTTCCCTAGCAGTAATAGTTAACTTACAACTTAAGATAAGCAGCACCAAAAATATTTTCCATATGTGAGCTCATTCATTCTATCTCTCTCTTCATCTGGGCTCTCATCTTAACTGGAATTCTGTTAATTGAGTAAGATGAAGGTAAATTGGATATTCTGTCTATAATATGCTTCCACATATAAATTTCATGCCTAACCTTGACTCATCTGGTCTGTTGTATATTTTCGTTTAGGAAAAGAGCCAAACTTGTTGGAATATAGGCAGGAGCACACAATGTCAATGACATATGATTTTAAATCTTTTATTTATATTTTCAGGGAAGTGGCATCAGGGTGTGAACTGTGAATTCCACAGTGATCACTGCCACCATCCTTTAAACCACGGCTTTGACTATTTTTATGGCATGCCTTTTACCCTTGTAAACGAATGTCAAAGTAGAGAAAATCGTCTCCTCAATGCTTCAATGCAAGCTAAGTATTGGCTTTACAGTAAGACAATTGCCCTTGCAGTGCTCACGCTTTTGATCGGAAAACTTACTAACTTATTGTCAGTAAAATGGAAAGCAATCATCTGCTTTGCCCTGTGTGGTTTCGTGTTTTTCATCTCCTGGTACTCCAGTTATGGATTTGTAAAGTATTGGAACTGTATCCTGATGAGAAACCATAACATTACTGAACAACCAATGAAGCTAGAGAAAGCCGCTTCCAATGTACTTAAGGAGGCTATTTCATTTATTGAACGGTAATCAATACATCTCATATTGCCCTTTAATGTTTCTTAACTATATTGTTATTGTAAATATCTCTAACAGTTCCAGTCACCTTTATGTTCGGCATGCTGCCTTACATTGTTTCATTGTGTTCTTCTGACTGTCATTTTTCACCTCTTGCCTCTAATACTGTGAGCTTCTTGGGGCAGAGACCAACACATTGTTCTGTTTGTTCACTTCCAGAACAGAACAGTCTGTTCTTATTCCATGACTGGGGCTCTTAGACATTACCACATTACAAATAATAAGAACATCTTTAGCCTGATGTCTGTAGGTTAATATACCTCATGAAAATAGCAATACTGGACTTTCCAACTATATAACACTCTTCTTTTTCATGTTATAAGTAATCATGTGTGAAATCTGGGCAAACCACAAGGAATTAGTATCTTTTCCACCAGTTCACATAGCTTTCACAATAAAAATGGCAAAATTCTTCTTTCTGTACATCTTGACAGTACTCAAACTGCAAAAACAAATCCCTTTCTCTCTTACAGAGGAAAAAACCAGCCTTTTGGCTGTGAGTTTTCATATTCCTATTGATACAAAGATTTTTCTTTGTAAATGTGATATTTAGGGTGAAAAATGTTTCACTCCCTCATGGACAAGCTGGGATTTGTTTTTCTTCAAATTTACTTAGGCTAAAATGTCACAGGCTTATTTGTGTAGATTTCACCTGCATCTAACCTAGAACCAATAAAAGGTTCATTACTGTTTGAACCCAGTTCAGGATCTGAACCTTTAAGGCCCAAGAAACCCAACACTCAAAGGTTGAATCTAAATTCTTGCTTTGGCCCCTCATTCTTAGAGTAATGATTTACAGGTGCTGACCACTAAAGCTATGCCTACACTCCAAGCCTACGTCTAGACTGGCATGATTTTCTGCAAATGCTTTTAACGGAAAAGTTTTCCGTTAAAAGCATTTGTGGAAAAGAGCGTCTGGATTGGCACGGATGCTTTTCCGCAAAAGCACTTTTTGCAGAAAAGCATCCGTGGCCAATCTAAACGCGCTTTTGCGCAAAAAAGCCCCGATCGCCATTTTTGCAATCGGGGCTTTTTTGCACCAAACAAATCTGAGCTGTCTACACCAGCCCTTTTGCCCGAATGGGAGCAGCATAGAATTTCCGCAAGAAGCACTGATTTCTTACATGAGATCGTCAGTGTTCTTGCGGAAATTCAAGCGGCCAGTGTAGACAGCTGGCAAGTTTTTCCGCAAAAGCACTTGCTTTTGCGGAAAAACTTGCCAGTCTAGATGCAGCCCAAGGGTATTTCTACTCTGCAGAGTTTTTCACATGTATCAATATAGCATAGCCACGGTAGCACGGGGAGTGGCAATAGAGGCACAGTTTTGAGTGGATTTGTAGTTGGCATGGCTCAATGCTTCTTCCACTGCTGCTGCCTGTGCTACCATGTCTGCACTTCTATGTAAGCTTACACTAGCTTGATGATAGCTAGTGAGGGTATGTGTAAAAAAACATGGAAATAACACCTCTACCTCGCAGTGCAGACATAGCTGAACATATGACATTGAATAAATACAGAGCAACATATTTCAAGATCCTATGGGGTATTGAGAGGAGGAGAAGAGAGTTGTTTTTCAGCTAAAATTAAAACTCTGTGTCTGAGGTAGTAACAATTCATTTGCTTGCATTTTTTTTTTTTTTTTTTTGTGAAGAAACAAGCATGGGCCGTTCCTCCTCTTTGTTTCCTTTTTACATGTCCACATACCCCTTGTCACCACAGAGAAGTTTCTTGGGAAGAGTAGACACAGTTTATATGGAGATAATGTGGAGGAGATGGACTGGATGGTGGGTAAGTGGTCTTTATGATTGAAACTGACTTTATTTAAATTTGTTTTACAAATTATAAGGAGGACCAAGTACCCTTATTATAATTTACAGTGACAAATAGTTTTTAAATTGCTTGAACAGGTCTCCAGAACATAAGCATGTGCCCATGGACCAGCACCTTGCTTTAAACATGTACATGTCAGTATTAGAAAGCGAGTACAAGTAGTTGTTTTGGAGTAGCTATCTGTTGTTGTTTTTTTAATTCAAACTCTATTCTGTGTAGTGAGGTGATACTTGCAGAGAAGTTATGATATACTAAATTGTAGAACAAAAATATGTCATTATATTTGATCACAAAGAATGCCTTTAACATACACTTCATTCTGCATGGTTCAAACATTATAGTTGCCAGTATAAAGTTGAACATGCTCAGTGTATTCACTTTCCTGGAGTTTATTTCTTGTTGGACCTATCTGTCTTAGGAACCTATATGGCTGCTGTCACCTTAGTATTTGAGGAACTCTTTAATGTATTTACCTCCATAACGCCCCTTAATGAGACAGGGCATTGTGATCTAGGGGCAAGAGTACCCGATTTGGACTCAGTGACTTGGGTACAATTCCTATCTCTGCTTCTAGCTGACTTGGTAACCTTCATCAAATCACATCTCCTCCCTGTGCCCTAGTTTACTCAGCTGTAAAATGGGATTAAGGACCCTAACTGCCTTTGTAAGAAGCTTGATATCTACAGATGAAAAGTGCTATATTAGACCTAGGTATTAATTAATTAGTAATAATTATTATCACAATGTTACAGCTGGGGAACTAAGACCCAGAGAGGCTAAATAATCAAGATCACACAGGTTGTTTGAGGAGAGGCACAGTCTAGGTTAGTGCTTTAACTTCTTCCTTTTGTTGCTTCTTCATCTGCAGCTTCAGAAATCACCTGTTGCTAGAGAAGAAGCTATTTTGATGGGGTATATGCCGAGGCAGGAATCTTCATCTGCATAACTTACTGTTGTCAGTAGTATCAAAAATTTCATTATGGAATAGGTCTTGAAGCACTAAACTAATCAGCATTATCATTGACTGTAGCATAGTGAGCAGGTGCTGATCACTGAGCACACAGCAGGATCTTAATTTGCCTTGGCTCATGGAGAGGCAGAGCACTTGAGTATGGATGAGAAAATATGATTATTATTATTATTATTATTATTTAAGCCCCAGAAAGCTGCACAAATTCGAGAATGAAGACAATGCTTGCCCAAAGTTAAGAACAAATGATAATGTCAAAGTACACTGAGAAGCCTAGATGAAGGATTACATGCTGACTCATTCAGTGGCTATTTTTTATTTTTAATTATAATATTTTGTAGGCATCACTACAGAACCTTGAAAATTCTATAATGACTTTCCTTTAAATCCTTGTTTATCCTATAATCTTTCTTTTCATGATGGGAGAGGTAATAAGATGATGATTGTAGAAAGTTGATTCTTGCAAGAATTTGGCTCAGAAATCTTCATGTAGTTCCTGATTAAAAGATTGAAATAATTAGGTTTGTTTAGTCTGGAGAAAGAAGACAGGGGGGCGGGGCACATGGTAATAGTTTTTGTACATAAAAGATTGTTATAAGGAGAGGGCAAAAATTTAGTGTCCATTGAAGAGAACTGAAAGACTCCCAGGGTAGAGTCATGAAAGTTAGTAGGCACCTTACTGCAACCTAAATCCCAGAATCAGAGGGATTCACATTCTCCCTCCTACCCCACATCACCCGCTCCCCAGCTGCCCTTTATCCTGCCTTACAGTCAATTGATGCCTACATTTTTGCAGTTAAAGTTTCCTAGGAATCAAAGTTTCTGACTGTGCACATACACACTGTAGCCTCTGGCCAAACATCTAGATGCCTTATCCTGAGAGTGATGCATGAACTAGGACAAGATAAGTAGAACTCCTTCCCCACCAGTTTGCTCCTGGGGCTCGATCTGCAAAGTAAGCATGCTTGGAGCTTACCTGCCAGATTGGGCGCCTACAAACTTACACAAAACATAGCAGTAGGGGGAGGAGGACCATCCTCATAACTTTTGGTTATAATACTCACCTGGGATGTGGAAGACACACACACACCCTTGTTCAAGTGTCCCCTGCGTGGGGAAAAAGTTTTGAGAAGGGCTCTGCCATCACTCAGGTGAGTGCTCTAACTACAGGAAACTGTGCTGTGGGGCTTCCCCAGTCTTTGCTGTTGAAGCTGTTCCATTCTCAATAATTAATGAAAGAATCATTGGGTGAGGGTAGTAGACAGCACTCATGCCTGAGAATGTCTTTGTGGCCTGGTGGTTTGAAAACCTCACCGCAGAGGTAGTAAATGGCAGCATCCTATTCAAATCCCATTTCACTTTCAGGCTGAGGGGGTTGTGGAGCAGAATCCCCCCACTCCAGATGAATACCCTAAATATCGGGCTAAAAAGCATGAGGCTAGTCTTGTTTGCCAGCTTTTTGCAAAAACAGTCTAGGAGTTCATCTCAGATCCTAGAGTGCGCCCCCTGCTGGGCATCCACTAGGACTGCTGTGAGGGAAATGCAAGCCTCTGTGCTCCAGGTCTATAAAGTGTTAACTTTTTGCAGCCTCAGTGAGTTGCTGTGCTGTCCTTATCTTGGAATTTCTGGCCCATTTCCAGAGCACTGGGACTCCTTCTCAGAAATGGGGCCTAGGAGAGGAGGGCTGCCCTCGAGATACCAGCCTTATTTAAAAACATTCCTGTCCTAGAACTCCACCCCAACAATGTGAAGCTTCTGAAACTCTCTCTGGGCCATGCAGTACTTGTGACGCTTTCAGCACACACACATCTGCTAAGGCCTTGGAGAAGGGGCGGGACATGGGCATGGCCTCAGGGAAGGGACAGAGCAGGAGGTGGGACAAGGGTCTTTGAGTTTGTGCAATTAGACACTTGGCAACTTTACTGGCAGGCATAAGGAAGCAGCATAGCTGACAGTTTGCTGGGCACTAGCCAGCACAGGTGCACCACCACCTCAATGACTGGTGGCTTCTGTGTGCATGGGGGCCTAAAAATAGCCTTCTTTCTAAAGGGAATACATTTCTGGTGATTGGATACTTGAACCAGTTACCCTCTAGTGTAATTCTTATGCCACCAGCCTTTGGCATTTTCAACCCAACGTGGAGACAGACTATAGAGAAAAGGAAAAAGTTTGAACATTGAAGGTGGAGTTTGCAACCTGACTCCGATGCCTCGGGTTCCTAATCTCACACAGAATTCATACATTCCACAGACATATGCCCAAATCATCACAGCTCCTAACCCCAAGGGAGGGTTTGCAACTCAGAATTGCAAGCAGAGGAAGACGCCTGCCTTGAGCTCCAACATCAGTGCCCAACTCCCTGAGAGGAGCAGGGCTTAGAACACCTCTCACTCCCCGGCGTCTCCCATTCCCCTTAGGTGGGGAAACACTAACCTATTGGTCATTTTTTGAGGTGTTGCTCTCTCCCCATTCATCGTCTAGGGAACCTAGGTGCCCAGCTCAGACATGGTGAAACCCAGTGATATTTTATATGTCTAAAAGTTAGGTGGGGTGAGCCTCTGCATCACCATACCTAAGTTCTTTGCGGATCAATCTCCCACCGACTTCACTGGACCTGGATCAGGTCCTTAATGACGTGTTTGTACCCTGTTTCTCAATACTGAATAGCACGATTTTTCATTATTTACAGGCAGAATTCTAGATGCTATTGACAAAGAAGGCTTGAAGAATAACACATTCACTTATTTTACATCTGACCATGGAGGCTCTTTGGAGAATCAAAAACAAAATGTCCAGCTGGGTGGTTGGAATGGAATCTACAAAGGTGTGAATTCTGTAGATAATCTTATTTAAAGAAAGAAAATGCTATAAACTGGGCCAGACTGAATATATTTATGAAAAGTTGCATTCTGCTTTGTCATGGATCTCAGAAAGGCAACTAAAAGCTAGATAGTTTTCAATCTCCAGTATCTACACTTATATTGTTATATAACAATACTGTGGTATCTGAGCACCAATCATGAATGTAGTTATCATCAATACTCCTATGAGGTAAGAAAATACTGTTACCCCCCCATATGGATAAGGGAGCTAAGGCACAGAGCCACTAATAGGTTTACTGTCACACAGGAAGTCTTAGCAGGGCAGGGACTGGAACCCCCCGTCCAAAGTCCTGGGGTAATGCTCTAAACACTGGACCATCCTTCCTCTTTGTGGATGAAGCTTCCATACCAATAATTCTATACCAATAAATACAACCGGAAAATGGCTCAGAAAGTATACTTAGAAAATTTGCAGAAGACACCAGGGGTGCAAGTGCTTTGGTCAAAGGTGGGCAATAATTTTCGCAGGAGGGCCACTTAATGAATTTTGGTATGTGGTCACGGGCCAGCTCTATCCCTGGAAGGGGCAGGGCCTCATGTGGAAGTGGCTGGATTGGGGACCAGCCTCCCTCCAGAGTTGTGTGGGCCAGAGTCTTTGAATTAAAAATGCAGCAAAGGGCTTGTGGCTCCTGGCTCTACCGCTACCATGTTGCTTAGCAGCCACCTGGGATTTCTGATGCTATTTAAAAGGCTCCTGGCTCCAGCTCCTGCCAGGGTAGCACCGTGACCTGGAGCTGTGAGACATTTATGTAGGATCCTACAGCCTGGCCCACCACCTGGAAATTCAGTGGCACAGGCAGCAGGATATAAATAGAGGCCAGATGCAGACCGTAAGCTGGATCAAAGTGATAGGTGGGCCAGATCTGACTCCTGGGCCACATCTTGCCCAGCCCTGGCTTTGGAGGACAGGATTAGAATTCAGAATGATCTTGACAAATTAGAGATTTGTCTCAAAATCAACAAGATGAAATTCAATGAAAACGTGTGCACAGTACTTCCCTTAGGAAGGAAAAATTAAATGCACATATACCAAATGGGAAGTAATTGGCTAGTAATGCTGAAGAAAACCTGGGTGTTAGTGAGCAGTAATTCTCAAAAAGGGGTATGTGTATCCTTGGGCTTCCCCATAAGGTACTTAACTCACGTAAACCAGTGTTTCTTAATCTGGGAGGGTTGCAACCCCCAGGAGAGTTATAGAGGTCTACTTAACATGGGGATGGCCAAGTTTCCCAAAGTCCTGTAAAGTTTATTTACAACCACCAGTCCTGGCTCTGTGTTCTGTCCTATTATTTAGTTCGAATAATAGGCTCAGTAAACAAACAGTGCAAATGAGGAAGCTTAGAAAGTAGCCAAGGAAGGATATTATGCCAGCCACAGCTCCAATTAACCCCAGTGGGGATAGTAGGAGAAGATGTTAACTAACAAATAGATCTGACATCATTACAAATTTAAGAAATTTGTTCCAGAAATTAAAAGGCTTATGGACAAGGAAAATGTCAAAGGTAGCAAATTTGGTAGTACAATACATAATTAATCATAAACACCAAAATAGGAGAACACATGCCTGTATGGGCTCTATGAAAAAAGACCTTAAATGATAACCTGAACCCATAGTAATGGAAACCTAAATGTGGGGGAAAAAAACATTAGTCACCTGCAACTCTAGCCCCACACTCTTGGGAGCCACCGTGATGCCCTAGCCCTGCGCTCAGGGGGGGTTCCAGCCTTGTGCTCCAAGAAGCTGGTGGAATATCTCGTCCCGCTCTGCCACAGGGCTCCGACCTCAGCCCCATGCTCCTCAGCAAGGGGTCCTCTGTCCTGGCCCCATGCTGCTGCAGGCTGTTGGAGGCTGTCACAAGGCTCTGACCTCAGTCTTAAGCTGTTCCCAGCTGGGCTGCTGACCCCGTTGCCCCGACCTGCTGGCCTTCCTGTCCTTAGACTCCTGGACTCTCTGATCCAGGAGCATCCGTGGTCCTGCCAGACAATGAACGTTGCCCGACAGGAAAGTGCCGGGTTTTGGAGGTACTACCTGTTTCCCAGTCTGTAAATTCATAATAACTTGAGTCCCAGTTCTAATGATTCAGTGTTTCTGGCACCTTTTCTCTTACAACAGGTGGAAAAGGCATGGGAGGCTGGGAAGGAGGGATCCGTGTGCCAGGGATCGTTAGATGGCCAGGAGTATTGACTGCAGATACAGTTATTGATGAACCTACAAGTCTCATGGATATTTACCCCACAGTGGCTCACCTGGCTGTAGGACTAATGCCTCAGGACAGGTACAGAGGCAGCTTCATAAACCATATTTGTTCCATTTCCACTGTAATGAAAAGTATGGTATGTTGCGCATCCTGATATGCACAAGTTTTGTTTGACCATGTCCCTTTAAACCACTCACAACACATACTATTTTAAAAAACAAGTGTCTTTATCTTTCCCCCTGCTTAGCTCTACCTCGCCTGTATGATTTTAAGGAAAATACAAAGTAGACAAATTTACTCTTTATTATGGAGCTGAGATTAATTAGAGTTAAATTCAGTTTTCTTTCATGAACAAACTAACGAAAAAATATGTGCAATTTTCTGTGATGAGTCTGGTTTTCTTTTTTTAACCCTCCCCCACTCTCTGTTTTAGAGGTTCATAGGAATATAGGAGGCAGTAATGGGTTTTTTTAGAACATAAAGCAAAGGACTGGGAGCCTGGGCACCTGTGGGTCCTATTTCTGGCCTTGACATTAGATCAGGGTGTGACTGTGGTGGGCCATCCACTTAGACCAAAATTAGAACATTTTGATACTTAAAGTTATGCTCCTAAATCCACATGTGAACTGATGTTTCAGGAGGTTTGAGAGTTAGCAGCCCCCATTGACTTCAGTTTTAGCCACTCAAGTTTGAAAGAATGGATCTCCCTGTGATTACACTTAACACTTCCATTAAATGATCGTGCTAACTACATCACCATGGTGACATTTTGTGATGTACTTGGGTTCTGGGAGGCTTGACCAAAGGTGCTATGGAGGTGGGAACTATGAAGTGTTTGTTCCACTGGCCCAATTAGAGCTGCCTGAAATTTTTCTATAAATAGTTTTATTTGATGAAAAATGCACTTTTGATTGACCTGAAATGATTTACAAACTTGACAGGAATTGTCTCATCCCTTAATGCAATAGCCAAAGGAGTAGGGTGAAGTACTGCTGCTGTACTCCAGTTGACAGCCCATCCGTTTTAGCTACCATGGTTAGGGTGCTCCCCCTGGAGGTGGGAGAAACAGGTTCAAGTCCCTGTTCTGGAAGGGTACATCTACACAGCAACATGATTTCGAAATAACTTAGTCTGCATCTACACAGCAGGCAGTTATTTCAAAATAATGTTGAAATACTGTCAAGCTGGAAGACTTCTGACTCCAACTCCTGTAACCCTCATTGTATGAGGAGTAAGGGAAGTTGGAGGAAGAGTGCTCTATTTTGAAATAAGTGCTATGTAGATGCTCACAATTCCAATTTCAAAATAAGCTACGCAATTGACATAGCTTATTTGAGTTAAATCCTGCTATGTAGATGCACCCAAGCAGACCAAAATTGGAGTTTTTCTACTTCCCTGAAACACTTTCTTTTTCCAAAAATGCCACTGAAGTGAAAACTCAGTTGTTCTAGTTTCTATATCTGTAAAATCATATATAAGTTTAAATGTTGGCCCTTCCTGATTCAAATAGTGGCTTGTTTAAGAATTGCCATTTGCAATGATAGTACTAAGTACAGAATGTACTCAACCCAGTTTGGTGACTTCCATTCTCTCCATTACATTAGGGTGGTCGATGGCCGAAACTTGATGCCCTTGCTTAAGGGAACAGTTCAGCACTCGGAGCATGAGTTCATGTTTCACTACTGTGGTCTATATTTACATGCGGTACGGTGGCACCAAAAGGACAGTGAGTATAAATAGTCTCCCCACAAGTAAATTCAGTGATGTAACAATTCCCCTTGGCCTTAAGAGCTAGGAAACTTTGCAACAATAGACAAGTAAACATTTAGCAATTTATGCGCACATTATTTTAAAAATCCCAAAATAACATACCCTACTGCATATGCTCAGGTCCCTGGAGAGATGACATACATGGATGCAGGGGGGATGGAACAATTTTATAGTGGGGGTGCTGAGAGACATTAACCCAAACTGTAAACCTCATGTATAATGGACACTATTTCAAATTAGACGATGATGCATCAACCTCTGTACTCCTAGTTCCAGCACCTATTCCATAGGTTATGAGTACTAGGGATATTAGTGACTAATTGACAACCCAATAAGCCTAGCCTTATCGGGTAGTTGAGTCACTACTCGACTAGTTGCTTCTTGCCCCCCTTGCTGCCTCTGTATCAGAGGCACCAAGTGGGGGAGAGCAAGAGCTGGTGCTGGGGGGAGCCAGCTTAAAAGCCGTTGTCCCCAGCTCCATCTCCACAGGGGAGGCAGAAGTGCAGCGGGGGAAACGGTGTGAGCGGGAACCTAAGTAGTCTTTGCTCATGCAGGGTCCTGACTGCTGCGCCTCTGCCTTTGAAATGTACAAGGGGCTCTTGTACATTTCAAAGGCAGAGGTACAGCGGGATAGTGAGAACGCCCCTTATCGACGAATCAAGTAGTTGATGGAAATTCCACCGACTACTCAATTAGCTGATTAATCAAAATTTAAACATCCTTAGTGGTACCATAGCTGAAGGAGGCTGTGCCCTGCCAAACAGCCACCACCCTACCACCATCCCAAGCACCCTTCCTGCTTTCTACCCTCTCTACAGGTGACAGTGCATTGCCACGTGAACTGTGTGCATTGTCCCAGTTCAGTCTAGAGCTGTGCTGACCACTCTTCCAGTGCTCCAGAACTTGGGCCGGGGGCTACCCTGTGGCAGGAGGGCCCATGGCCAGAGGGCGGAAGGCTCTGGACTCTAGCAGTGTCATATGGGCAGAAGGGGCAGGGTTTCAGGCACCAGCCCTGACAACATATTTTAATCACATTGCTTTTTGCATTACTAGAAAGTGCTTGGCTACGTTTTATAGTGTGCTCATCACTGTTGTGTATAGTATAGAACAGGTACAAATGTTGGGGAGTTACCTATTATCTTCGTACTGCACCTCTGAAGGGTCCAGTATGGCTGAGCTGGTAGCTCTCCCATTTTGTCCTGATACAAAAGAACATGATTCATGGCTATTACTAAAAGTTGGATTTTTAGAGGCAGATTTGGGCATGTCATGACTCAGATAGGACCTCATATGAGATTTTGAAAATCTCATTGGGTGTCTCTCTGCATCTTTAAATCCCTTGAAAAATCTGACCCTTGCCCTACAGCAATAGGTGCTGCCTCATGATAGCCAGAGCTTTCATTGCTTCTGCTGGAAAAGCATCCAGAGAGTTACCAACAGAGTGATTGTGGACATCGCCTGTTATCTCTAAACATAAGAAGTTGTTTGTCTCTTTTTAAGAGTTCTGTTTTCTTTGTTAAACTGGGGCTATGTCTACACTCGCGGCTTCTTGCGCGAGTAATATGCAAATGAGGCTAAGCTTGGAATATTGCTGAGCCTCATTTGCATACCTAATGAGCCACCATTTTTTTCAGAAGAGGCTCTTGCGCAAGAAGGAGCATCTACACTGCCCCTTCTTGCACAAGAAAAACCCTTTTGCGCAATGCCGTTACACCTATTACTTTTCAGGAAGGACAGCATTGCACAAGAGGGTTTTTCTTGCACAAGAAGGGGCAGTGTAGATGCTCCTTCTTGCTCAAGAGCCTCTTCTGAAAAAAATGGTGACTCATTCTGAAAAAAATAGCGGCGATATTCCACTCAGCCTCATTTGCATATTACTCGCGCAAGACGCTGCGAGTGTAGACATAGCCTGGGTGTTTCCTTTACAAGGCTCAGCTGTGAAACATCTTCCTTCAATTAGGCTAATTGACAGCAGCTGCAGTGCAGTTTCTTAATTATGACTTAACTCCAAAACCTTAAAACAAACAAACAAACAAAACCAAACAAACTTCCTTGCTGATCTATTCTGAAAGATATCAAGTTGCCCTAAGCAAAAAAGAGCTTTGAACTACTGATGAGGAGCTAGGAATTGCTGAGTTCTAATTCCTGAAGTGATACAGATTCACCTACCTGAGCACACTAGAGTGTCAGAATCCAGGAATGAGCGCTTATGGGAAATCCATGTTTCTCACTCTTGGTGGCTGAGTTAAAAGGAGGAAAGTGATGAAAGAGACCACCCCTTCCCCT